CTTAAGTGAAAGGGAAAAAAAGCTCTAAAATTCTGATTTTTTTTTTTTTGAGAGGGAGTTCATTTTGCCTTTTTTATAAAAACAAAAACACACAAAATCCCCCACCATACCCCATAAACAACAGAAAACCCAACACCCCACAAGTACAACTGCAGCCACACAGCACGGATCACTAGAAAGCACTAAGCCGTGAAGAACCATGGCCACTTCCACAGATACAATTTTAGAACTGATCTACTAGATAGAAATGATACTTTCCTGTTTGAGATCAAGACTTAGTGTATCTTGAAAAGTTAGTACACTTGGACTCTTCATTGCTGTCAGAAAGGGGAATATGCTGTCAACATATCACAGTTCTCCCATGGAGAATCTTTCCTTACTTGTAATTTTATACTAGTTCAGCGCTATGGAAAAAAGAGTATCAGTAAAAATCTGCATTTGTGCTTCTCCAAGTTAACGCAGTAAAGGATTGCACCAAAGGAAGGTCCAACCCTCCCAGTCAGAATGACAGGCAGCTTGGCCTCCGGCTTTTGCCTCACAGTTGTAGAGTAGCAATGGATCTAATAAATTCCTGAAAATTGTCTCTGGAAGTAACGTCAGCAGTCACCTCCTAATCCCTTTTTTTAAACGCATAGCACTCTACCCAGCAATTTTATTCTCTCGCTTGCTCTGAGATGTTACTCACGATCCTTTTCTGACTACATACTGGTTGCAACAGAGACCATGTTGACTACGTGCAAGTTCAACAGAAGTTTGTAGCAAGCAAGACATTCTAGTTCCACATCACAGATGCATATTCAGTATATATCAGACAACAGAACTCTGTTGGGTGTCACAAGAAAATCCTTTCAAAGGACAAACAAAACTAACTCTTGTTAATTCAGAATTTCATAGTTGCAAATACCACTACCGTACAGGCTAGATTTCTTCTCTCCCATATCCTTACCCTTCTGCTCCACATCTCCACTCTATCCTCTTGTATAGAAAGTTCTTTGCCTTTGAGAATGAGCTCTCCAACACGGGACATACCTGACTCGTTTCTTTCATAAAGCAGCTGGTACAACACGGCTCCATTGTTGATAAGGTCATTTCAACCATACCCCAGTATAAAAACTTAATATTAAAGAGAAATGAAAAAAACCCCTCCAGAGTGAGTGGTAATTCCCAAATCCAACTCTTGTGAAGAGGAAGAAAACCAAGACATTCATGTTCACTCACAAGTGGTCCTCCACAGTAGTGGATCAATCTTTACTTATATTTACAAAGAGTGCTATTGGGTCTAGCAGACTTGAAAGAGATACCCACATTTGGTTCTTTATCACCACATTTTCAATCCATAGTACTGTGCTCGCCTCCAAAACTGTACCCAGTTGATAAGGACTGCAGAACCCACACTTACTCTGGAAGCAAGTATTTCCAAAAGAACTATTGCTCCATTCAAACAGCACAGCTCCCTCAGATGTCGTCTGTATAACAATCTCTAGTAACTGCATCTATTCCATGCTGTCCACGGTACAGAAGGTTCCCTGCTCCTGATAAATCATATTGTCACCTGGTCCAAGACAATACTAACCTTGGAGAGGGGGGAGACAAGAGCAAAGCAAGAGATTTCTGTCTCCTTTGCTAAGGAGCCTTTGACCTGGCAGTCCAGGCACCCTGGTGGCCACCAGTGACTGGCAGTTGCTGCCACCGGGTGGCTCAGCGAAGAGGGACAGCCAGCGTTTCCAGGGGGACCCGACTCCTCTGAGCGCCTGCTGCACACCCACGCACCGAGGCAGAAAAGGCAGGCAGGAGTCAAGGGGTGCTGCCCCTCTTTCTGAAGGGGGCTCAGTGGCTGCATCAGGCAGGAACTGGCTTCTCTGCTGCCTATGCTAACCTTTCTGTAGGGGGTGGCATTGTCCAGATAAAGCTGGAGAAGTGATCTTTGTGAAAAATAAATAAATAAGGCACGGAAGACAGCGATCTATGTGAAAAGGGAAGGCTGCGCTGCACCCGCTCAAAGAGACTGAAGGCTATTTAAATTTCTTCAGAAAAGGGATTCTAGTCAAAGCTGAAGCTATAAATTAACCAACTCCTGATGCATACTTGATGCTCATTATAATTAGCACCACTGAGGAGAAAGAAAGAAGACAGACATGAGGGATAGCTTGAAATAGATCAAGCCAGAGGGAGAATAACTGAGCAGGGTCTGTACTCTAATCATTTAAGTCACAGGACAACAAATAACTCACCTAGGGAAAACTGTTTCAAGCTTATCATTTATTCCCTGTAAGACAGATCTGAACATCTTAAGAAATTGCCCAGAACTGCAGGGAAAGGGAGGTACATACACTAGCATCATTCCCAGAGACATAAAACTTATATTTGCCAAAATTTCCTCCCCGACTCTCAGGGCATTTCAAACTGAAGTGGTTTCATTTGCACCTTCAGTCCACTTGATTTCCTCACTTGACCAGGGTGAAAAAGATTACAGACTCCATTTGCACCATATTTCCTCTTCTTTTTTTGCCATTTTGATCTTATCTTAAAAAACCCAAACAAACCAGACTTTCATTTGTAAAGTGGTAAAAGGGTTGATATGAGACACTCTAGTCTGACTGGTTTTGGAGTTGGAAAGAAATTTTCCTTGTGGTGCCAAGTTGTCAAAGGTTGATCACTGGCTTATCTTAGATAAGCAGTTCAGTTCACAGATCTGGAACATGGAAATATTTAGCAATTTGTTAGTAAATCATTAGCTTTAAAGAACATGTAGTACACTGCATGTCGACCTTCTTAAATTAGTAAAAGAATTTGTACTGAGGGTATGGATCACTGGATAGTGAGTTTAAGCCTACTTCATGTTTTTTAATTCCCATTTTTTAAGTTCACGGTCCCCATATGGACCACAGGCTTGACTAACTACTGGTTTAGTTCACTGGTACTTGGGGCTAGTGATCAGAATAAGATAAAAGGTTTAAAAGCCTGAGATTTTGCTGGTAGAAAGAGGCAGGTGGAGGTCTCCTTCCTTTGCTGTCTCCATCCTTCTCATGGAAGGAGAACCGGAGAGATCCAAATTGAAAGGACACAGTTTGAGATGCACATTACACAGTGCCGTGGGGCTCTATAAGCAGAAACACTGGATCTACTGCAAAAAACTGGTGGAGTGGATGTAGAGGAAATGAAGTAATAGCCTCACCACTGAATTAAAGTTGAAACCTAGCTCTTAAGTCCGCTTAAGTCCACTTGTGGATTCTTCAGATGCTGGCATTATATGATCAGTTGTCCTGGTGTCAGCTGGGATAGAGTTAATTTCCTTCCTAGTAGCTGGTACAGTGCTGTGTTTTGGATTTAGGAGGAGAACAATGTTGATAGCACACCAATGTTTTAGTTGCTGCTAGGTAATGCTTACACTAGTCAAGGGTTTCTCAGCTCCCCATGCTCTACCGACTGAGAAGGCTGGAGGTGCACAAGAAGCTGGGAGGGGGCACAGCCAGGACAGCTGACCCAAACTGGCCCAAGGGACATTCCATACCATGTGACGTCATGCTCAGTACATAAACTGGGGGGAGTTGGCTGGGGGGCAGCGACTGCTGCTGGGGAACTGGCTAGGCATTGGTTGGCAGGTGGTGAGCAACTGCATTGTGCATCACTTGTTCTGTATATTCTCTTATTATCATCGTTATTATTATTGTTTTCCCTTTTTCTGTCCTATTAAACTGTCTTTATCGCAACCCATGAATTTTACTTCCCCCCTGCCCCGATTGTCTCCCCTGTCCCACTGGTAGGGAGGGAGTGAGCAAACGGCTGTGTGGTGTTTAGCTGCCTACCACAACGTCAGTGTTGGAAACGTTCATACCAGGAATTCAGGCTCATGTGCCAATCACACTACATTATCTAGCAGAGGAAAGCTGATTTTAAACAAAACCAGTTTAAATGGTCAGAAGCATTGTTTCACGTATATAGTAAAAGAGATTTAATTATTTATGCTCCATTCCTTTTGTACCTTGAAAGAAAAAAATTCCTTACTGCATTCATAAATAGTTGACTCATCCAAAGTTTTCAAGCTAGTCAGCCTTAATAAAATCCACATGACTTCTGCAGATTTTGAGTTTCCACTCCAAAACATAACGGAGCTAAATACTACATCAACTGATAAGTTTTCAGCCTTGCCTTCACCTCTCCCGCATTAATGTTAGACTACTGCTTTTTTTTATTGGAGTTCTACCAGCATAAAATCAACATAAAGTTGGAATAATAAGGTTTCCCTGGCTCTTTTCTGAATCTTAATGCAGAAGAAAAGGCCAAATACAGCTTTCAGATCAAATAATAAAACTACCAGCAAAACCTGTATGGGAAGGAGGTGGGGAGGAATTCACAGAAAACTATCAAGAGGAGCTCATCTAAAGTCTAGGGTATCCTCAAAGGTCATCCAGTCTATCCTTCTGCCACAAGATGAACTACATTACATCAGTTTAGACAGTTACTTGTCTAACCTGTTTTTAAAGGCCCACAATGACAAATCTCCACACTTTCCAGATGATGCATCCCCATGTTCTAGTATTCGTTTTAGGACTTCCATTCCCAATATGTAATCAAATCTTTCTTTCTGCAATTTAAAGAATTCGCTGCTTGTTCTATCCATCACGGACAAAGAAAAGTTTATTTTCACTCTTATTGCATACATCTTTAATTTTTTGAAGAGGTTGGAAGAGACCTTCTTCTCTGTGTATTTTCACTCTTATTGCATACATCTTTAATTTTTTGAAGACCTGCATTCAATCTTTCTTCTCTGTGGTAACCAACTGCAAATCTTTCTTCAGAGATGATTTATTTTAAACCTTTGATCCCTCTTCATTTTCTTCTTGGTCCTTTCCTCCACCTTTCCAGGTCTCTGTGGAACTGTATGGCCCACACCCAGATGCCATACACCAACATTAAGAAGATCACAAGGACTTTGTGGGAATTCTTTTTTCTGAACTAACAGATCAAATAACATTTGCCAGTTGTCTTGAGTAACTCACCAAATACTTCATTATCCTCTGAAGACTGCTGTGTTAGTCTGGCTGCTTTCGGACTCTCCTTAGCTGGTTCCTCCACCTTGGCTTCAGCATTCTGTAAAACAAAATTTCTTCAGATTAGGTCTTCTTTTATAGTTATCAAGCATAAACATTCTTCAAACTTCTTAATTACAGACACATTATGTTCTTAATGAATATGGAAGTGTTAACACAGAGGGTTTTGGTATCTTTACTATTTCTCATATACATACATTGTTTTGCAAAATATTGAGGGAAAACACTCTCAGAAAACACAGGGGTTTGGTTTGGTTTTTTTTTTTTTGAGTCTGTTTTAATCTGACTAGAGGACATAAGGTGGAGGACTAGAGAAGACATCTAAATAAAAGGGACATCTTAAAAACGGTAACAGACTTGTAAGTTTCCACCTTTCCTCCTCATATTTCGTTTTCTTTCTACTGCATCTTCCGTTGTTGACTTAGTGAACCAAGAGATCAGAAGATAGCACACAAATATTTCTTCTTACAGAGCAAAGGTAAGTGAGCTAGAGAGAGCTACTGTTGCTTAGGAGCAGCCATCTTCAAGTCTTTAACCAACTTATGTACTTACTGTTTAAAGCACAAGTACTTATCTATTTCTGAAACAAATCTGCCAGTTAGCTACCTGGTGTTAGACTGGGCCCAGAGATAAGCCAACAGCTTCAGCACTTAAATTGCCAGAAGTCAAAGCATTTCATTCCCTAGCTAGAAAAGACTGAAGAAAATGTAACCTGTGAAATATTTGAGTTTTAAATATTTATATTACTACTAAAGAAAAAACAACTCATGTTTTCAAAGTGTTTTACTTTGGTACTCAAGAGGAATGTATATGCATGCTTGCAGCAATGTTGACAAACTGCATATGCAGTCAACTGTTGAGCGATGGATATGACGTGACTGATGCAATATTAAACACCACTGGAAAAAGTCAACTAAGAGTTGAGGAAGGGAAAAAAGAAAAAAAAGGAGAAATGTAGTATGCCTATGCTTTTTAAAGGACAGATACTGCTCTGTTCAAGTACCTCCTCATTCAGAAGACTTTCTGTGGTGTTTTGGAGAAACTACCTTTGTACAATTTAAAAATTCTGACTTACATTTTGAAAATGCTGCTATACAAGCTGTCCATGAAAATTACCAGTTTTGCCCTCAGAAACATAGCACACTTCCAAACTGTAAGTGATCTCTTATTTCCCCTTATTAATAACCACATGGAAGATATAAGACGACAGATAGACTAAGTCTGTCAACCTCCCTATAGAACACAGGAGTACAAACTTAGGGCACATAAACTCGAGACTTTGCAGCAAGACAGCAAGGTTTGTCAGGAAAAAATGAAAAAAAGACCTAGGGAGCCTACTAGTGTCACACAGCAGCAGACAACAATTAGAGAAAGCAGAGAGAACAGGAAAGAAAGGAGAAACTATGCTTCAGAGGAAGAAACACCTGCAGAGGAGAAAGGATTCTGCACTCCCCCAAGGCACCAACCTGAGCATCCCATACAGAAAACCCATTAGCTATGTATCTCTCAAAGCTGAGGAGACAGTCAGTTTTAGCAGATGCTCACCTCAGTTTGCGTTAACTAGTGTCCCTCAGGAAGATGGAGGGATGCAGTCAGAAATCAGCAGTGGCTATACTGGGAGACAACTTGCTTTGGGTAAACAACATTGTGATCAGCACAAATACTCGAGCCCTGTCCTCACAGATACCATTTGTAAGTTGTGGAGCCACCCAGTTTGCAATGCATTAGGTGCTGTCCGCACACACAAGGGACACATGCCAAGGTCCACAGCATCTGTACCGGTTTATAGAACCACTTGCACGTAGAGACCACTCACTCAAGTAAGCTGCATATTGAAGTTGTGTTCTCCATCCTATTTTAGTTGCTCTATAGTGAGCAGCAACTCAACCAAGTCTTCTTTGTAGAAAGAGATGGAAAACAGCCTTCAACTCTGAAAAAAAGCAGAAGAGGACATCTGCTACAGCAGAGTGAGCCAATCTCAAAGAAAAAAGCCACTAAAAATTGTGCCATCATGGATGAGGCACAATTCATACAACTAGGTGATCAAACCAAGTTCAGGGCTTTCCCAGATGAAGGGGCCAGCTGAACTCCTCATCAGACCTATTACTCTAGGTTTTGTAAAGATATTGCTTGTTAGCTCTATTTTCAAATGTATTCCATCATATTTAGTGTATGGTAAAGCTAGTGGTGCAGGAGGAGAGGGATTGCTGTTCCCCATGCTCTTGTTTCTCTTGGGAAACGACTGAAAGAGTCTGAAAAATGCTGCAAGGAATCAAGAGCGCTAGCAACAAAACACTACCCAACAGATACTCAGCAGTGTCTATGAAATGAGTTGTCACTCCCAAGTTCTTAGTAGGGAGATGTTCGCATCCCTTACTTTAAAAACAGGGGTTTGGCAGTCTCAGGGAAATTAGAAAGACTGAGCCCTGAGATATTTTGGTTCAAGTTAAATCACTGGGGAGAACTAAACAGCAGCTGTGCTGTCTGCTCCCTGGATAAGCCATAATGTTGGTGTTGACAGATGTCAGCTCCAAGATGTTGACAGATGTCAGCTCCAAGATGCTGACAGGAAAGTTGTGTGATATATGTCTAAAACATGACAGTGCATGGTTGCATGTAAATCTACTTGGCATGGCTTCTTACACAAAACAAACTTGAAAGATTTCTTTGCTTTATTATTTGCAGTAAAAAATTTACACGACACATTATTACTGGCATATCTAATACTTGTATTACCAAAAACAATATGAGAAAAATCACTGCAAAAGAACAATCGATGATCCAGATGCTCTAAAACAAGTTATATTATAAAACAGCATTTTAAAAGACAAGACTTAGCCAGTTGCTTAATTCTTTCTTCCAGTGTCCTAAAAGTTCTTAAGTGTCTCTATCAATGAACAGAAAAAGTGAAAACACATTCCCTTACACTGCCTGTGCCAAGAGGGATTCTTTACCTACAGTTATAAAGTGCTTGTGGTTGGTTATAAAATAAAGGCCCTTTGTACATAACATAGTAAATGTAATTCTATCTAGCTCTTACTTTCAGGTTGAGCACTCAATGCAATTTCAGAAGTGATGGGCAAAATGGGTTTATTTTACAGTATATAATTTCCCAAGAACTACAGATTACACCTGATTTTAGAATGAAGTAAATATTATATATATTTTATATATATAAATATTATATAATTTAGCAGGGCCTGTTGCAACAGGACAAGGGGGAATGGCTTTAAACTAAAGGGGGGTAGATTTACACTAGATATAAGGAAGAGGTTTTTTACGCTGAGGGTGGTGAAACACTGGCACAGGTTGCCCAGAGAGGTGATGGATGCCCCATCCCTGGAAACATTCAAGGTCAGGTTGGACGGGGCTCTGAGCAACCTGATTGAGTTGAAGATGTCCCTGCCCATGGCAGGGGGGGTGGACTAGATGGCCTTTAGAGGTCCCGTCCAACCCAAACTATTCTATGATTATATAGGCCTGAATTCACAAAAACTCACTCTGTCTCCCCAGAAAGCATCTCCTCAACCACCACAAAAATTAGCATTAAACTAGAATTCAAGTCAGGTTTCCTGATATGAGATAGGCATTCTCAGTGTGCTTACACCCTTCTCTGAACTAAGGCCTCCAACCTGTACTTCAGAAAATGTGAGGAGGACATGCCCTATTCTGCAGGTGTTCTGACATCGGGAGAGAAACCACAGAGCACCAAGATCACTACCAAAGCACACTGGAGTTGCATTTCTTACATGAATCAGGCCACTTGTGTTCCAAAATACCATAGAACACCTAAGTAGCAAGGCAGCATCTACTGCATCGCAACAGCTGGTCACAGACTAGAAATAGTTCTATCATTTTATAAAACAGTTACAAAATAAGATGTACATATATACTGCAACTGTATATATGTGAATATGTACATATATAGCTGCTCTTGACTCGGCCCTGATAAAAATTAGGAATTGCATTATAACCTGCCACAGTTTCACAAGACATTTTTGGCCCAGCTTCCCATTGTAGCTGCTCACCAATGCCTTGGACTCAGTTCACCTGTTTTCCCATTATCCGTCAAGTGAATGCCACAGTCTCCATATTACACAACATTTTAAAATTTTGATAGGTAAATATACAAATAACAGGTAGCTATCAAAATACTTGCAACAAATAGCAATATCAAAAATCATGTTTTGGCTATATATACACCCATTAGTGCAAGAAGCAAGGTTATTTGTATTTTGCTGCTATCAGTGTCTATTTAGATGATCTTTACCTAAATAGGAAATATTATGAAATGCTGAGTTACAATGACCTTTGTTCTGCAGGCACTACAGTAACAGACCAGGCTAAGAAGTGCAGTGAAGTGTATTACATTTACCGAAGCAGCTATTTCCTTAAGAAAACATAGGACTTGGAAATGGAAAGTTGTACGCTGGAGTATTCAAGCCAGGTTCTTTACTACTACCTTGCCAGTTTTGCATACTATTTAGGAAAGGCTTGTTTCTTTTCCTTTAACCATAAAGCTGTTACTCAATGACTTCATTTTGCAAAGGAAAGACACGCAGAAAAGCTAAAACTTCTCATCAGAAACCAAACAACTATTCAAGAAGCATTAGTGTTATATCTAAAAGAGAATTAAAGAAATGCAGTCTGAAGCAGAGATTCGTATTATCTGTGCTCTCATTCCTGCCTTTTACAATCTATTCTGTTTTCTTATTACTACTAGTAATGTTTAGTAATTTACTAGTAATGTACTATAAAGCTAGTATATGTTTAGCTCTATCCCAATGGCACAGATAAAAACAGAGTGAAATTTCCTTTATTTTCAAAAGAAGTAGCACACTGACATCAAAAGTTCTAAATGCAGCGAGACACCACAGACCATGAGTACATGAACTGCTGCTTTGGCAGCATAGCCATTTCTCCAGTTCCTTCTCTCATTCATTCATTCCTGTCCATAGCACGTTACCTTCCCTGCACTTAACCACTTCACTCCACAAGACCTGGCAGAACTGAGGGCATGGCAAAACACTTGATTCCTCC